GAAGGTGCGTTGCTGCGGGGGTGGAGGGAGGGGGGCGGATGGGAGGGAGCGAGGGAGAGCTTTTTAGTCAACTCAAAAGCCTGCTGACTGCAGCTGCAGCCATGCTGGGGACGTTCAGTTGAGCAGCACTGCTGACGTGGAGTTGAGAGTCGTGTAGAAGGTGCGTTGCTGGGAGGGTGGAGGGAGGAGGGGAAGGAGGGAGGGCGGGCGGGAGGGAGGGATGGAGGGAGGGAGCAGGGGTGAGGGAGGGATGGAGGGAGGGAGGAAAGGGAAGTGTGAGACGGGATTAAGATGAATGTTTTTCCCCAACTGTGTGTGCATCACCACCTGGTCCTGGTCAATCTACCCCCGTTCCTTCTCCCCTTCTCGTCCTCTCTCACGTGCTTCCTCGCTTGCTTCCATCTGTTCCATCTTTCCTCCTCTCCATCTCACACTCCCTCCCAAGTCGCCTCCCTTCCTGCTCCCAACCTTACTACCTCAGCGCGACAGGCAAGCCGAGCAGGCATGCACGTTCTCATCTCTCCACACAGAAAGCCTTGCGCCTCAAAAGACAAAGCCATGTCTCAAGTCTCTGCAGCTCGTGCTGAGGCTCCTGAGGCGCCTCAAAAGGCAACGCCATGTCTCAGGACTCTACGTTTCATCCTGGGGCTCGTTTGTGCGAGCATGTGAGCGAGGCAGGCAGGCAGGCAGGCAGGAAGCCTCGTGCAACCCAACCCGCCAGTGCACTCGATGCAGTCGAAGAGTAGACCCTCTATTTGAGGCGTCTCAGAGTGTTGCTTGTGCTCACTTGATTCTGAGGCACCTTGGAAAGAGGGGCGTCAAGCAAGCATGGAAATGAGAATGAGAATGGTGAGCAGACCCGGACCTTGATGACGGGCGAGTCCTGTGGGCACTTGATGCAGTCGCAGTAGAGCCAGGAGAGGCTCAGTGCCGTGTCCACCAGTGCCACATACATCCTGGGCGGCGCGCCTATGAGCAGTGGCGAGTAGAAGCGCCTGGGGGGAGGGGAAGGGGAAGGGGAGGGGGATGGGGAGGGGGAGGGAAAGGAAGATGAAGGGGAGGAGAGAGGGGACGGAGAGGAGGGAGGGGAGGGAGAGAAGGAAGATAATTACAGATTGATCTCCGAAAATGGAAGAGCAGAGTGGCGGGTGTGGAACGGATGGAAGGAACGGAAGAAATAGAAGGGATCGGAAGAACGGGTGGGAAGAAATGGGCGGGATCGGACGGAAGGGAAGAATGGGTGTTGCTGTAGTTTATGGGTATGGTGATTTTGGAGGTCACTTTGAGACTCCAATGCCGAAACAGTGGTTGGTGGGAGTGGTCGGAAACTGAACAAATGGGACTGGCATGGGCAACATGAGTGGTTAGGTAAATCAAGTGGATATCGTGGATGGATGGATGGATGGATGGATAGGGCGTACTGCAAGAGAAGCGCAGAGCTGAGAGGTAAGTCGCGACGAAGAAGAAGAAAAAGAAAAGAGAATAAAAGAGAGGGCTCACCCATATTGAAAAGCGCCTGCTGACAGGAGTTGGAGCACCACCATGCCTTGATTCTTCTCTGCAAAGGATGTATCGCCCGTCTGCTGCAGCACTCGACGCTGCCAGTCACAAACACGCATGGGCAGGAAATCGTCGGGAGATAATCACGTAGGGCAATGGCAAACGTCAGGAGAACGTCCCGCATGTCTCTCTGTTTGTGTGCAGTGCAGTGCAGTGCAGGTGGGTGTGCAGAAGCTTGCATGAGAGACCATCGAGGCTGGGAGGGCTGCAGGATGCGTTTCTTAGACTTGCCACACACGCAAATTGTCTGCAGTCTTGGAGAAAGTTGAAAGCTGCTATCATCAGAGTCTCTAGAAAGTTGGCTACATGCCCTCACACATGCATCCAAGGCCACACACACCCTATGGATCCGTGGCCACTTTGAGCGGCCATGGTAGGCATGGCATGGCCGGGCGTACCTGGCTAGGTACTGGTCCCAATGCATCAACGCTTCGAGGCACTGTGCGTGCATCGTCTGCTGACATTACGTTACCTGGTAACTGGAGTTAGCATTGCTGCTTATAACATTGCTGTGGCTGCTGCTCGAGTGAAAGAGCGGTGGAGACCCCATGACAGCCGCCTCTTCCTGCTGCTCGTGCTGTCGCTGCTGCCGCTGCTGCTGCATGTTGGTGGCCCATTCTGGCAGGCTTGTTCGAGCAGCAGCTGCAGTGAGGAGCAAGTCGGACTCAAGAGGTCCCTGATGGGATGAAGGGAGGGAGAACATGGGCGGAGTGGCAACATGCAGAATTACCACTGGAATGGTTCCTGATAGACTGACAGACAGACAGAGAGAGAGACAGACATACAGACACATACACATACACATACACATACACATACACATACACACTGCAGCAGCAGCAGCAGACATTCCAGTCCGACCTGTGGCTTCTGCCAGAGTATGAATCTCACAGAGGGTGTGCTAGAGAGCACACTCCCGCTCACACCGGATGCTGCTATGAAGCGCCCTAATGCCAGGTCAACGGTTCCTATTGCCAAATCAGGAAACTGTGCCGTTGTGGTGCCACATCAAGGTGCCGAGTGCCAAATCAGGGACCACACAATGACACATCAAGGTGCGGGGGGCTTGCCCTGCTACCCACAACGCGAATAGCAGCTACCTGAATGCGGCTGTGAACAGTATCCTCCCCACACCTCACCTCCCACCACACTCACCTCCCATACTGAACCTCCCACATCCAATCCGTTACCACTGCGCAAGCTTAGGCCAAGGGGCCTAATCGAGGCATCACCACTGCGTAGTGCAGCATTCCAAAAAAAAAAAAGGTCCTGGGGGCATTCCTGGATTTTGTACCTCTCGGGGTATGGCCTGGAGAACACCCTGATTTCTCTGAACATTTGACATCTAAGAGCAGCTACCCTCGGGCCTCCCACCCTCGGGCCTCCCACCCTCGAGCCGCCTACACTTACCTCCTGGTGTGGGAGAAACTGCGAGGAGCAGACATGGAGGAACGCGAGGAGGGCCATGAGGTGCGCTGCAGAGCCTGCAAGCAGCTTCCAACCCGCTGCGCATCCTGGGATTGCCGAACGAGTAGCCATGGCCGCACACGAACGATGAGAACTCCACGCGGGCTATGAGGGATTCACCGCACGGATTGCTCAGAGTATCAGCGTAAGGAGACCGCCATGTGTAGCGTCGAGGTGGTATTGTGAGTTGGACGAACTGAGCCCGCTCCGTGCTATGGCCGTCTGTTTTCACCGAGGAAGAGGGGGAAGCGAGAGCCGAGAGAGACGGGAGAGAGAGGAGAGGAAGCAGCGCAGGAAAGTGAGAAGCGAGGAGAGGAAGGCGCGAAGGAACAGTGATCCGGATGCTGAATTTACACGTGGCCATGGCAATGTGGTTTGTTGTTCATGCAGTGAGCGGTGAGACATGAGAGGGGCATTATCAATGGCCTACATTCCTTTCCATTCCATTCCAGAACCAGATCATGCCAAACAGTTCCCTTGAGCCAGTTCACACTGAGCCTCCAACTAACAGCGTTGCTCTCTCGAAGCGTCTCTCTGGGCTTGCTAGCCTATCGGCGCGTCATGAGAGTTCACCTTTTGCTCGTAATGAGGCGCTGATCGCGGCGCAATGCTTCGCGATTGAGAACGGTTTGCTCGCTCCACCTCTTGGAGTCGTCACAGAGCGGCCCCCAGGCCGTCTCTAAGAATGTAACTAATCTTTCGTGTCACGTCACAACGTCCAAACCACGTACAATAAGACCTGGAATTCCGCAACGACGGGTTAGTGCGTTACTCGCATTGTCGGCACGAATGATCAGGATGCTCTTCGAGTCAGCTAAGAGCTACACGGCAAAAAAACAGATAAGGAATGCGCCAAATCCACCGTATCGTCGACGAGGAACAAAGTCGTACGGGAGACTCTGAAAGGAAACGAATGTGTGTCGCGTTTCATACAGTCCTTCCCAAAGAGGCCTGGAGTGAAAGCACGCGAATCTAGCAAATCCAGTTAGTCACTATGATCGCATCGCATGTCGACACTCGAGCGGTGAAAGCGAAAATAGTCACTCGTTCATCCGGTGCACTATCCGCCACATCATGGAACAGAGGGCGCTGTGCTGCTACATGTGATGGGTGAACGAGTCGATCGCAAGTTCCACCACACTCAGTCGGAAGGAACTGAGGAGTGAACCGTACAGCCTAGCAGGACTGCACTGCATTTCCCTGATGGAACCCTATTGCGTGCCGAGCAAGGCCCAGAATCACGCAACCAAACGAATGGTTTGAACATCCCGTTCTGAACATCTTGCAAAGACACACAACGCGGCGCGTGCCTGACATCTCCCAAGAGGGGTGCGGGTGCGGTGACCAAGCCAAGCTCCCACAACCGAACCGCGCCGGTCTGAATTCGGTGAGGCAAATTGACCCTAGTGATTGGCTCGTGAATGAGGTTCGGTTTGGAGCTGTGAATGCAAGCATGCCCCAAACATCTTCTGCTGGAGCCAGGAACTCGGGGGGGAATTCACTGGACGCGTACCAGTAATTGCGCGCATCAACCACATGTAGTTCTCAATCTGTTGATTACAAAATAGGGATCTGTCCAGCAACCATGCTCATCCGTCACCTGGTCATGTCCAGAAACACTATCTGAGTCACACCATACGGTTGCATCTACTCCGATAACCCGTGTGCCAACGGCTTACATATCCTCAACGCAACCACACCATACGATGTGAGAAGACAATTCCAAATCCCAATCCATCCCAGTGGCTCTTGTCCACCCTCCCTGTCTGTTTCAAGTCACCTTACAATTAACCAAACGCATTGAAAAGCGGAGCATTACCAGCCGCACCTCCTGAGGCTCCAGGAGTGCCACCGACTCCACCATACATGCCTGCAAGTGATCCCACTCCTGCTGCTCCCACTCCTGCTGCTCCCATGCCCACTCCACCTGGCACACCACCCATCCCAGCAACCCCTACTCCAGGCACAGCCGCAGCACCAGGTATGGGGAACGCAGCAAAGCCTCCCAAGCCAGCAGCACCACCCGCGACCGGAGCAGCACCGAAACCCATGGGCATGGTAGGCACTGCCCCCACACCAGCGGCGCCAGGCATCACCCCTAGACCACCCATTCCGAAACCAGCAGCTGCTGCAGGAGCAGGCACAGGCGTAGTGAGGGTGCTTGCTCCTGCCATTCCCTTGCCTGAACCCTGGCCCATGGCCTTACCCATGGACATGCCTCCCATGTTAAAGGGGCTGGGGCAGGCAGTGGGGGCTGCAGCGGAGGAAGTTGGAGAGACCACTGACTTAGGATCAGACTTGAGTGAGGCTGAGTCTGTCATGATGCCCAAGGCTGCGAGGTTCTCATCCTTGGCTGGGAACGGGAATCGTGGACAGAATGGCATGACAAGAGCAGGGGATCATGAAGAAAGGGCACACAGGGCAAGAGGACAAGCAGCAGAATAAGGACACACAGGGGAGAAAAAGGCTCAGATTGAAAAGCAAGTACAGAGAAAACGACAAAGACTACATGAAGCACCTTGTACAAAACAAACATGCTCGTAAACGTTCATCATGAGGCACATTTTCTGGATCTCAAGCCCCCTTCTGCCTCTCACACTCCCTCCTCAAATTTCATTCAAGCATAGTCACAAATTATTGGAGAGCATCACTACTACATAAACAAAACCACCAGGTTACTGTATTGTGCAACACTCACATGAGGTGATGGCGAGGTCAATGAGTCCAGAGCTGAGAGCATCCGCCCACAGCCCAGGCGACTTGCCTCCCTGCGATGCAGCAGAGGCAGATGGACGGGCAGCCGAAGCAGCAGCCGGGCTAGCACCCATGACAAAGCTGGAACCAGGAGTGGAGAAGGCAGGGGGCGCAGCAGGAGTAGCAGAGACACCAAGCATTGCAGCAAAGGGGTAGGCAGAGGCTGCAGGCGCAGGAGGAGCAGGAGCTGCTGCTGAGAAGTCGCCAAAGTCATCGGCAGCAGGAGCGGAGAAGGCAGGTGCAGGTGCGGACATGGGAACAGAAAACGCAGCAAACGGATCCATGGCACTTGCGGCAGCAGCAGGAGCAGGTGCGGCCACTGGTGCTGGCGTGGAGAAGAGGTCGACTCCAGCCTGAACCCACTCAAATTGGGACGAAAGGTAGCAATTTAGAGAAACATCAGAAAGGCAAAATGATGGAGACCGTAAGAATGAAGCAAGCAAGAAACTATAAAGAAGGGGACGGGAAGTACGGGAAGGAGGGAAACAGGAGAAGGGTTAGCAGAGGAGGAGGGGCAAAGGAACGTCTTTGAAGCAACTACCAAGCAGGGACAACAAGTGAACACATGAATGCAGCAGCAAAAACAACTACGAGGAGCCAAATTCATTAGCCAGCAATCAACATACCCCAAGAGGAGCGGCAGCAGCAGGAGGAGCAGACTGGAAATCAGCGCCAGAGAAAAGGTCAGCTGCAGGTGCCGCGGCGGCAGCAGGAGCAGCTGGCGCGGGGGCAGAAAAGAGATCGTCCAGCAGGTTGGCAGCAGGAGGTGCAGCTGCAGGCGCTGCCACAGGAGGAGGGGCGGACGGCTTTGCTGTGGGGAGGCGAGGGTGGGAGGGCGAATGTGGGAGAACAGAGGAACAGAGGAAGAGGCGAAGATATGGAGGGTGAGGGCAGGCATTGGCATGCGAGGAGGAAAGGAGGGTCACAAAAATGGAACGAGCAAGTGTAGGCTAATAGACAAAAGGTGCCCTGCATTGGTTCATTTGACTACTCATTCAAATCGATTTCCACTCGGTGCTCTTCATAAACTGTCAGCTAAAGCCCTAAACGAGTGGGTGCATGACACATTGACACCTACCAGCTGCGGGTGGTGCGCCCCGGGGATCAAAGTCATCGAAATCATCATCGGCAGCAGCAGCAGCAGGCTGAGCGGGCTTGGACGAGCCGCTGCATCACAGGGCGTTGTTGGGAAGTGGGGACAGGGGGGCCAAGGTCACATTGGGAGATGCGTAGGGGTTGGCGTATGGCACAGAAATGTAAATAAGAATGTGTGAATGCACGAGCGAGAGATACATGGGGTGGAAGCAGAAAGAGAGCAGGCGGGAAAAGGAAGGGGTCGGGATGTGTGGGGGTTGTGAAACGGGAACATAGGCAGAGGCTAGACGAGAGAGAGGGAAGAGAGACAGCAGTGGAGCAAAAGGTCGTAGAAGAAACGCAAGGGCAATGGGGCGAGTGCGTTTTGGAAGGGAAGGAAAGCTGCTCATACCGGGGTTCAAAGTCATCATCGTCCAGGGACGCAGGCTGCGATCCTTCAGCAGCCGCAGAGTATCCAGGGCGCCCATACTCGCGCTCCTCGTCGTCCCTCGCCCCACCTCGCCCCCCTCTGCCCTCATCATACTTGGAGTCCGAGTAACCACCCCCTCCACGGCCTCCCTCCTCCCCATAGCGAGAGGAGTAGCGGCTCTTGCCCCCTTCGCCCCTATCATCCCGCCCACGCGAGCTGTAATGGTCACCCCTGTCCCTGTCCTCCGAGTAACCACCAGCCCGACGGGGAGGGCCGAATTCGTCCCTGGAGCCGTAACTGTCGTAACGGCTGCCACCACCACCACCACCGCCCCCGCCGTAGCTGTCATAGCCGCCGCCTCCCCCGCTCCTGCCGGTATTGCCAAAACCACCAGAGTTGCTGCCGAAGCCACCGGCACCGCCAGCACGGTAGGCGGCAGAGGAAATGCCACCGTACCTGACGAAACCAAAAAAAGGGTTGAAGGGGGTGGGGTGGGGTGGAGGGGGGAGGGGGGGTGGGGGATTGTGGGGGGAGGAAAAGCGATATGCTGACAAGCGATTGCTTACTTGGCATGACGCAGCGGGCGTCGATGTTGGAATGGACAAGGGAAGAGGGAGAGAGGAAAGCAGGAACGGAATGCGAGAGGGGAGTTAAGGTTACGGGAAGAAGCAAAAAGAAATAATTTTGCATGTAAACCAATTGAAATCGCGGAGAGACAGAATGGAACAGATGAGAAGCGGTGGTAAAAACTGGGATCTGGTCTCCCTTTTGTACCAACCACACTTCTCCCTTTAAACAACGAATCGCTGCCAGGCCCCCACGTACTTGTTGCGATTAGCCGCTGCCTTCTCCCGGACTTCCCGAATCTTGTCCGTGTCCCTGAGCAGAGCGACGAGAGTCTGAGCCTTCTTGCGCACGTTGATGCCCTGGTCCTTGCCATCCGGATCCACGTATTGGAAATCCGTCAGTCTCTGTAACACGTTCGCATCGCAGCCACGGAAGGCAACCAGCACAGGGGAATAAGCAAATCAACAGGAAGAGAGGACGGATCAGGAAACAAATGTGGAATGGACGCATGACCCAAACGGCACCTCACTGCCTTTTACATGACTTGCTTGAATGCAGAACCTTCGGCGCCTCATCTTCACCTATATCGCCTGCTCTCACCTCGACATTCCGTCCACCCCGTTGTCCGTACCTCCCTTCCTTGCTCGCTCACTCATTTTGTCCCTTCTTGGTCGAAACGTTGGTCCCTCCCTCTATCCTTCTCTTTTCTCTTCCTCTCCCCCCCGACCTATTCTGCTTTCGCACAGAACGATCGCGAATGGACAGCGCACCTGCAGCTGGTACATATGGTCTCTGAACTCGTCAATGCAACGCTCCGCGCCGTTCGCCACCAGAAACTCCATCAGCGTCAATGCCTGGTCAGACGGCACCGTAACGCAAGACCAGAAAGCAGATAGGTAGGTGGAAGGCGAGGAATGGCTGACTGAAGGATCGGAATGTGCTGCGGGTACGGCGCCGCGTGCAAAAAGTGCAGGCGATCGGTGGCCGATTGGGATACGAAAACAAGGGCGTGACTGCACAAGGGAGACTCACCGCAAAACCTGACGAGAACAGAAACCGCTTCGAGAAAGCTCACCTTGTACACGTGTCTCCAGTTGGCTCCAGAGTCCTGAACTCGCTTCCACAAAATCGCCATTATCATTTGGAAGTCCGGGCTGGGAGATAACGAGACAAACGCAACATACATTAAGGATTACTCCGTGCTTCTGATATGGATAATTTGAGCAAAAAACAATGTTAGCAACTGTAAACAATTAATTGAAACGGCACGACACAGCTTAACAGGCAGGCTCTGAGCAGCTGACATTGCCTTGCATGAAGCAACATATGATACCGGATTTACAAAAAAAACATATTTGCAGATTTTACACAACGGAGATCATTCAACGGCATCAACACACACGAAGGATGATCCAAGAAGAAGGGAATAAGAGATCTCACTAGTTGCGGGTGGAGCTGGCAATCTCGTTCATGGCCTGGCCGTGAGGACCCCATGGCTCGTTGCTCGTCGCGTCCAACGTCTGTACATTACAATATTAAGGGGGTGATAGTGGAAGGTACTACTTCACGTCGTCACGTCTCTCTGCATCGAAAATGATCAGGCGAAGTAGGATTGTAGCGTACCGAAATGTATACACAAGGGATATACAGATTGAAGAGTTTTAGTAAAAAAACAAAAAACGGAAATTAACAAAAGCGAGACATACCTTCTGTTCGATCTCAGGAACCTTCAGAATACTGCGATTCACCTCCCTCGTGCTGCAAACAGCATTCAAAAGAGCAGTGTGAAGACCATGCGATTAATTAGGCACGCAACCCAAGAATTAAATAGCTTCGTGACAAACTGCTTGCGAATGTCATCACGTGTCAAAGCTGATGGTGAACACATTGTGGCATGGACGACTAGTAAAATAGAGAAGATTGCCGCAAATCTGAAACGCTGATGACTTGGAGGCTAAATGCTCAATGTGACGTACATGTCCCTGACCGTCTGGTCAAAGACTTTGTAGAGATCCGTCATCGACATGGTGGCAGTCGGGATCCACCAAGGACAGACAGATGGACAATCTAATTAATGGTATCCTCAAGATCGATCCGCAACGGTGATTCGTATCAATTAGGATAGCTAGCTCTAGGAGTTCGGTCACAAGGACGTGCAGCGGCTGCCTGCGCGTGCTTGCGGAACGGAGCACCACACACAACACACGTTGCTTCTGCGTCAAGCGACAAAACCACCTTGATTTCAGTGTGGTTGGTGTGGTTGGTGAAATCCAGTTGGGTGGGACCGTGGGATGGTTCAGAACAGGGAAGGAGCAGGGAGAGACAGAACAGAGCAACCTCTGGTGTGCAGGCTTGGGTGGAGTCGAGGGGAGAGGGGAGGGTAGGGAAGTGTGAGCAGAAGCAGATTCCCTCCAGCATCCCATTCCCATCCCATTTCATGAATCCATCCCATCGCAGATGTTTGTCGAATATCTGGCGGGAAGGTGGATGCCCCAGAGTGATTCAAAAGGGCGGTTTTACCTGAAATTAGACGGTTGTGTCGCAATAACGAAGTCTGTACAGCAGTGGGGTTGGTGGCGGTGACCCCAACAGGAGGGTAGTTCGTTGCACTGATGGGTTTCAGTGGGGCACAAAGGCGGAATAGCCCCCTTTGGATTAGTCAAAATCAATGGCCTTTTACACCTGTTCTGCTATAAAATCACAATCAGTACCCTCACATTCGGAGTGCGTTGCTCTACTTTCAGTTGAACACATCTTACCGTATTACCCCGGATAGAAGCGCACCTGCGCTTATAATAAAGCGGAGTTTTTTAGGGGGGTGCGCTTCAAATTGAGTCATTTTTATAAGCGCATGCGCTTATATAATGACATACTGACTTATACATTTATAGCATCAAAATGTACATCTCAGTCGTACCATTCCAATCGAGGCAAAATTTTATAGCTCCAAAAATCAGAATTGCGCGCTACCGATTTTTTTCCAACACACAGGGGCAAAGACACATCAGTTTGCCCCTATGCCAGCACATCTTGACCTGACGCGCAGCTTCTGAGTGTCGGAACATTATAGCTTTTACATTTGTGTAGGCTATAGTGGGGTAGCCCATAAGGGGTACAACCCAATTAGGGCGTGTGTGATTTTTTTTGGGGTTCGTATTTAAGGTCGAACTTTAGGTGTCGCCAATGTTCGCAGGAGATTTCGCCAATGGTGACTCCAATTTCAAGAGTACCAGGTGCGAACATACAAATGTGAACAAGATTCGAATATATGCACAAACTTTGTGTAGCACACTGAACCGAACGTGTGTGGTTTCAGGCACGTACGAGGAACCAGCGAAGCTCGCGACTCTTTCGTGCACCAATGGAGGCACTTACGACACCCGTAGCAGAGTCCACCGCGCAAAGCCCACCACGTGGCATGCGTCGTGGCACAATGACGGTTCGTGAGTGCGTATCATCCGGCGCAGGTGATTTGGCTGTGAAATTCCCGCCTACCAATCTTGAAACAGCCTCAACTATCAACACCCCCAACGTGAAGCCACTCCCACGATTCAAAGTATCCACATTCCACCCTCTCGTAGTCCCGTATGCATTGCTTTTTTCACAATGTCCGCTTCACAGGACGATGCCCATGGAACCACCGCACCTACCGCTGCTCCCGTTTCTGCAAACGCTGCGGTGCGTCGTCGTCGTGCAACGGTCGACAATACCACTGCTCGTCGCTTAGACGTGATAGATCTCGACCAAGTGATTGCCCGTGTTCCCGCACACAACACCCCGCTCAACGCCAACGACGACCCGCTGGCGTATTTTGACGCCGGAGAAGTTGACTGTGACGTAGAAGACACTGCCGACGAAGATACCGACCCTGCAATGGCGACAGACAGGTCCCGCTGGGAGGCGCACGAGGTTATGCAGCTGGCGTGGATTCGCCACGACTACGACGCGCAGTATCGCGGCCAGACCCGCCTGCAAGGGCAAAACCGGGACGTGATGTTATTCGAGAAGCTGCGGGAGCGCCACCCTGAATTCCGCCACAATCTGGCCGCCGTGAAGGCAAAGGTATTCCGCATGGAGGCGCAATATAGGCGTGTGGGGGATCTACTGCTCAATGCATCAGGCAAGGGCCGCCCCCCGAAGCTGCCCATCTTCTACGATATCTTCGACAGAATTTTGGGCGATCGCGCAAATGCTCGTCCGCCCGCGCTTGCCGGTAGCCTGCCTGGCGCTAATGTCGTGAACTTGCCGTCTACCAGCACCAGTGCAAGTAAGTATGAGTTTGCCGAATGTTTGAATGTCAATAAAGTAGTTGCTGCTTAACAATCATCGATTCACAGCAAAAAACTTTAACCCCTAACAACACTGCTGAGCCGCATTAACCCTTCCCGCTACACCCCCACCCCTTCACATTCGTCATAGATCGTGCCGTGCCTACTCCAACGGCAACAGCGATTCAAGACGCTGCATCTGCAGCGCCAATTCGGCCGAGGGCAAGGCTTCGCACCCCTTTGCGCCAGCGCACGGCATCATCGCCGAGTGGATCCCCGTCGAACCCGCCGCTAACTCAGCTGCCAACGTCCTGGGTGTCGGATGACGAGCCCACCGATGCCGCCACAACGGCCTCTCCCGTCCGCTCACACGTCCTCGGTGCGCGCACGGGAGCTTCGCTCCGTGGGCGTGGTGTCAACCGTCGGCCTGGGCCTGCGACTGGAAGCGAAGTGAACACAGGCAATGACCCGGGTGAACATGCCTTGGGAAGTATGATGAATGCTAGTGATTCGACATTGTGCAGGGAAATAGCAGGAATAATTGCTCAATCAGTGACAGGTGCCATGCAGGAGCAATTTGCCGCATTCATGGATCGTACCCAAGAGTTGGTTGAGTCTGCTCAGGATGTCCGAGCCTCCAGGAAGCGTAGAGGCACGCCGCCATCCGAGCGCGACGACGTGTCGGAGTGAAGCCTTCGTCCCGCGGCGAGAAGTGCGGCATTTCGGCGGCGGGGCCGTGCTGCCACCAGGTGTTGCGCTCACGCGGAGGGAGAAGGCGAGGACGGGGGCCGAGAAGCAGGTCGATATTATGTAGAACGATGTAGGCAGAGACGTACTGCGGGGCGCGGAAAATGTCGCACTCCAAGCGCCCGTCCAGCATCCGCCAGCGCGTCTTCAGCCTCCCGTTAACCTGTTCGACAATCATCCTGGCGTGGGATTGCTGCAAGTTCCACACGCGCTGCTCGTCCGGGAGTCCGCGCCCGGGCAGCGCCCTGTAGGGGGTAAGGATGTAATCCCGTAGACCATAGGCCGCATCGGAGACGATGACATAGTCGTAGATACCGCCCAGTTCAATCTTGTGTCTTGCCGGGCTGTGCTGGAAGACCCGAGCGTCGTTGACGCTTCCCGGCCATCCGACGTAGAAGTCGTAGATGTAGCCACTGCAGTCACAGACGAGTTGTGCAATTATGCTGAATGCACCCTTCCTATTCCTAAAATCCTCGCAATGTGGCCCCTGACCACGGCAGTGAACATATGTGCCATCCATGGCACCTACGACACCAGGAATACCCGCCTCATTACAAAACTCACGCTCAAAGACTTGACACATTTCAAAGTCAGGCCAGATGACCCACTTCTCCAGTAAGACTCTGTTGACGAAGTCAACAAAGTGCGTGAACAGTTTCTGGGCGTGAGAGTAGGAATACCCGAACTGCAGACCGAGATGACGAAATGAAAGTCCATGTCCAAGTCGGTTATGTCCCAACGCCACAAATATGAAATCGTGGACGGGATGCTTTCGCGTTGAGGAGCTGCGGAGCTGGTGCTGACGCACAAGGTAAATGAATACACGCCTGTCCACGAGCATGTACTCGTAAAATGTAGACTCGGGCAGCAGGGTAATCAGGTTGAACCACCGCACGCAGGCATCGAGGCGATCCCCACGGACGAACACACGGGTCTGTCGCAGACTGAATGCGGCAACGAGCGAAGGGATGGCTGCACCAATGGCGGAGAGAGCAGGTAGCAGGAAACATCGCATGTAACCTTGAAGCACAATTCCGAGAAAGCGCACAAGTTGAATCAGAGTCATTGTGTGATGCTGAGTTGGAGACCTGGCCGAGCACTCCGATATTTGTATCGTGAACAACTGTCCCTTGAGCAATGTCGAGGTGGAGGTCTAGCGTTAATTTTGTTTAGGGGCGATTCGTTGACGTGTCGCGCTGTCAATAGAAGAATACCGGGTAACCTACGCACCCTATAGGCGGCTCGGTACCCCCCTGTAAGCTCGAACCTGCAAATTCGCACTTTTGTGTGTGATTGTGAATCTACAAGCATTGTCACCTGCGGTTCGAACATTGCCAATGCTCAAAGTCGAGTCATGTTCAAATGCTTAAATCGAGTCAAAAACATAAACTTATGGCAAAATCAAAAATCACACGCGCCCTTAGGGTTAGTACTTGTACCCAACAGTTTGCTAGTTCATTAATTCTCGTTCGTTATTTCGACATGGAATCAGAGCAGGTTCCTTGGGCCCACCACCTGCTACGCTGCTAGTACCCCCCCCTTAGGCCCGTCGCTCCTAGCCTACGCGACCCGTCGACACCAGCGCCCGACCCCGTCCCTAGCCCGCGCCCGGCCCCATTTCTAGCCCGCGCCCGGCCCCGTCCCTGCCCCGCGCCCGGCCTCGTACCTAGCTCGCGCCCGGCCCCGTCCCTAGCCCCGTGCACGGCCCCGTACCTAGCCCGGCCCCGTACCAGCGCCCGGCCCCGTCCCTAGCCCCGCGCACGGCCCCGCGCACGGCCCCTTAGCCCCGCGCCCGGCCCCGTACCTAGCCCGCGCCCGGCCCCGTACCTAGCCCGCGGCCCGTCGACCCCAGCACCCGGCCCCGTCCCTAGCCCACGCACGGCCCCGTACCTAGCCCGCGCCCGGCCCCGTCCCTAGCCCGCGCCCGGCCCCGTACCTAGCCCGCGCCCGGCCCCGTACCTAGCCCGCGCTCGGCCCCGTACCTAGCCCGCGGCCCGTTGACCCCAGCGCCCGGCCCCGTCCCTAGCCTGCGCACGGCCCCGTACCTAGCCCGCGCCCGGCCCAGTACCTAGCCCGCGCCCGGTCCTGTACCTAGCCCCGCGCCCGGCCCCGTTCCGCACCCAGCAACCGGCCCCGTACCTGCCCAGCGCCCGGCCCCGTCCCTAGCCCAATGCCCGGCCCCGTACCTAGCCCGCGCCCGGCCCCGTAACTAGCCCCGCGCCCGGCCCTGTTCCGCGCCCAGCGCCCGGCCCCGTCCCTAGCCCAGCGCTCGGCCCCGTACCTAGCCCGCGCCCGGCCCCGTCCCTAGCCCGCGCCCAGCCCCGTTCCGCGCCCAGCGCCCGGCCCCGTACCTGCCCAGCGCCCGGCCCCGTCCCTAGCCCAGCGCCCGGCCCCGTATCTGCCCAGCGCCCGGCCCCGTCCCTAGCCCAGCGCCTGGCCCCGTCCCTAGCCCGCGCCCGGCCCGGTCACTGCTGCTACTGCTACAGCTGCTGCTGCTGCTGCTGCTACTGCTATCTGCGTGCTGCACAGCTATGGCTTCACTTCGGGTTCTCGCGTTTGATCATGAGGGCAGACTGGTTCAGTTTGACACGTGGCTAGATGACCTGCAACTGTACCTACTGAGCGATTCTAAGGACAGTGTCTCGCTGTTTGATCTAGCGTCAGGCGCTGCTACTGCCCCTCCCGCCACAGCTGACAATTCGACTCGCTCACAGTGGCTTACTCGTGACGCTGCTGCCCGCTTAGCCATTCGCAACCACCTGTCATTAGCTGAGTGCGCTCACTTCGGACAGCACAGGACAGCGCAGGCACTGTACGACGCTGTAGTCGCCCGCTACTCCTCCCCTGCCACTGCTGCTCTAGGCCGCCTCCTTCTGCCCTACCTGTTCCCCGGGCTGTCCGCCTTTGCCACAGTCGAGGACCTAGTTTCCCACCTTCGCGCTAGTGACGCTCGCTACCGCGCTGCCGTTCCTGCTGAGTTCCTTGACAGGAACCCGCCCCCGATGTACATCACTCTCTACTTTATAGTCACCCGCCTCCCTGACTCTCTTCTCTCTGTCAGGGACCACTTCCTCTCTCTTGACCCCACCTCACTCACTGTTGACCTCCTCGAGCAGCATCTCCTCGCAGCTGAGACTAGTGCAGTTGCTGTAGGTGCTGCTCGTGGCACTCCGCGCCCGCCCTTCTTTGAGGGGTGTTCCCCCTCCCCCCTTGCCCCCTCCTACGCCTCTGCTGCTGCTGCAGACGTCTCTGTTCCTGAGGACGTCGGGGCTGCTTCTGCTAGTGCGAAGCGCCGCAGAAGCAAGGGCAAGGGTGGCTGGGGCGGTGGTGGTGGCAGCGGCGGTGGTGGAGGTGGCAGCGGGAGTGGTGGTGGGGGCAGCAGTGGAGGTGGTGGCGGCGGTGGGATTGTTGGTGGGAGTGGGTGTCAAACTCATATGCTATAGTCTGTTTAGGCTGTAGTGGGGTAGTTCTTATAGGGTACAACACTTTTAGGTTTGCTACTTGTACCCACTTGCTTCCTAGTTCAATCATTCATTCCTTCAACATTCTAACATGGTATTCTGAGCAGGTTCCCTCGTGGGAACGTTTTTTTTTTTAGGGCCCACCACGAGATTTTATTTTTTCCTGCCCTGCCCGAAGCGCGCCTCGCGCTCGCCTTACCTGCGCCGTCGCGCACCCTTCTTTAGCCGGCCCGTCGCGGCCCCTACTGCCGACGCGGCCCCTGCTGCCGTTGCGGCCCCTACTGATGTCGCGGCACCTGCTGCTGTCGCGGCCCCTACTGCCGTCGCGGCCCCTACTGCCGTCGCGGCCCCTGCTGCCGACGCGGCCCCTGCTGCCGTCGTGGCTCCTACTGCCGTCGCGGCCCTTGCTGCTGTCGCGGCCCCTGCTGCCGTCGCGGCCCATGCTGCTGTCGCGGCCCCTGCTGCCGTCGCGGCCCCTGTTGCCGTCGAGGCCCCTGCTGCCGTCTTGGCCCCTACTGCCGTCGCAGCCCCTGCTGTCGCGGCCCCTGCCGTCGCGGCCCCTGCTGTCGCCGCACCTGCAGTCGCGGCCCCAGCCGTCGCGGCCCCTTTGCTGCCGCGGCCCCTGCCGTCGAGGCCCCTGCTGTCGCGGCCCCTGCTGTCGCCGCACCTGCAGTCGCGGCCCCAGCCGTAGCGGCCCCTTTGCTGCCGCGGCCCCTGCCGTCGAGGCCCCTGCTGTCGCGGCCCCTGCTGTCGCCGCACCTGCAGCCACGGCCCCAGCCGTCGCGGCCCCTTTGCTGCCGCGGCCCCTGCCATCGCGGCCCTGCCCTGCACCCGCCCATGGTAAGCACCCGCGCCGCCCTGCTGCGCCGCGCCGCCAGGAACTGAGCCGCGCCGCCCAGCCGAGCCGCGCCGCCCAGCCGAGCCGCGCCGCCCACCGAGCCGCGCCGCTCTACCGAGCCGCACTGCCCTGCCGAGCCGCGCCGCCCTACCGAGCCGCACTGCCCTGCCTGCACTGCTCCTGCTGCCACTGCTGCTTCTACTACCACTGCTGCTACTGCTGCTACTACTGCTATGGCTAGCCCTACTGTTCTCACGTTTGATGCTGAGGGGCGTGCAGTTGAATTTGACGTGTGGGTTGACGACCTGCAGCTCTTTCTTCAGTGTGATTCTAGGGATGGGGTATCCCTTTTCGATCACACTTCCGGTGTCTCTACTGCTCCTGCGGCCACTGCTGACAGTACGGTTTGCTCGGAGTGGACCGCTCGTGACGCTGTTGCTCGTCTTGCTGTTCGTAGTCACCTGCCGCCTGCTGAGCGCGCGCATTTTGGCCAGTACAAGACTGCTCAGTCTTTTTACGACGCTGTAGTTGCGCACTACTCCTCCCCTGCCACTGCTGCCCTCAGCCGCCTCATGCTGCCGTACCTTTTCCCTGACCTTGCCGCCTTTGCCACAGTTACTGACCTCATTACTCACCTCCGCACTAGTGACGCCTGCTACCGCGCTGCCCTTCCCACTGAGTTCTGTGCCAAGAACCCCCCCCCCATGTACATCACCCTTTACTACCTAGTCACCCGCCTCCCTGACTCCCTTGCTTCAGTCAGGGACC